ATCTATAAGATCTTACGTGGAAGTCACACCATCCACTACACCAACTCACTGTATCGTATCAATTACCAATACATGGTGTAGAACAAGGTTAGGTTAGAGAAAGAACAATATATTTAATATGAATAGAAGATATAAGGTAACATTCAGAAGAGACCACGCCTGCATGGCCGAGCCATGCCACTCGATCAACTCCAGTCCATTCAATTCATTCTCCGCGCCTTCTCCACGGTTAGGTATTTCCCCGAGTTAAATATTGAATATCTATTTTCTGAGTAGTCTCGTGTTCACAGCTTTGTGGATTGTGTGGCTATTGTCCAATGCCACTACAAATACATCGTTTTCTAGCTATGACGATCAAGTGTGCTATTGGAAATGTTTGAGCAGCTCTACTTACTAAACTGATATACTTCATTATATGCCTCAAGCAGTATACTTAAGTATAATATAATTCTATCGGATAAGCTTAATTATACGATAAACAAGAATGCTGAACTAAGCAGGTGTCATTTGCACAGACATAATACTCAAAGTAGTTAAATGCAGATAAGTAAGCTCATAAAATTAAAACGCTAACTATAGGCCAGTAAAACTTACCCAATAGAAGACAAAGAATATTAATATTTGTAATATCCCTATGAGTAGAAAAATTAGGTTCTCTGATATTTTGTGACTTAGTATAAGCCACTTCCTCAGAGAATGAGTAACCAAATTTATCAATGTTGAGGTAATACGACGGAACACCATGAATATTATGTGATCAATCAAAAAACATACAATCAAAACATACATACACACAAGTTTACATATATGCTGCTTATGAATCACCTTGACCAAAATGACATGACGTTGATTTATTTAGACCTGTTTTTTGATAGATCACTTAATATTCGTGTTGTTCCGTTGTACTATTTAAACTTGGATTAATTTTAATTTGGTCATTTGTTCTCTGAAAACGTGGCTTACACTAAATCACAAAACGTCAGAAAGCCTAGTTTTTCCGCTCACTGGGATATTACAAACATACTATTTACTTATAACAGTCTGCACAATGCTCAATTTATTCGGAATTATCAAATCAAACCTTGGTAATGATACCTTCAAACGATATTGTTTTGAGACTGAAGACAACAGTTGCTTACAAAAATATAGTTCACAGTACAACAAAACTTTCTCAAATAACATTATTCGTTGACTATCAACTTGAAAAAATCAACGATGTGATTAAACTTACTATGACTTAGGATACCATTTCAGCATGACATGAACATCCGGCGTAACTCAGTCGGACATGGCAAATGAAAATTACGACCAGAGCAAAATTGACAGCGTAATCTAGTTCTTTAATAAAAAAAATACATCATAATATAACAAATTCTATGACTACCTGAACGTATACATGACCGTTATTACACTAGGCGAAACACTAGGTCTACGGAGAATTGATGGGTTTAAATCCATCCAGTTTCTGAAAAGCTCATACTCAAAGTGGGCTCCTTTATTATTCGTTATTGTAATAGGTGTACCAAAATTGGTCACTCAGTTCTGAATCGAAACTTTGGCCAATATTTCCGTTATCAACTCAGCAAACTCGTGCATCTTTCTACTCATGTAAATGAATGATTAACATCGTCGGAACTCAGCAACAAACTTGTAAATTTATGGCACACTTTTTTATTAGTTCTGCTCTAATAATATATATAGATTTGTCATGATTTAAGTGCCTAATCCATAAGGTCTGACGTGGAAGTCACATCACTGTCTACACCAACTCTTTTTTCTGAAGATAGAACAATATATTTTACATGAATTAAATTTATAGGCTAACAAGAACGATCATGCTTTCAAGACCAAGACATGCCATTCAATGAATTTGAATTCCCTATTCCCGACACTCCCAACGTTGGTTTTTTCACCTCGTTGAGAATTAAATATATATTCTCCCAGTTGTTTGGTGTTTAGCTTCAAGGATTGTGTGATTAGGGCCCAACGCCACTGCAAACTCTTTGAATCTGCATGAACGCTGACGAAAAGTGCATCTGGCGTGAGAAAATTCAGATGGGTCAATTTATATGACTGTTAACCATTGACTGTTGGGAATATCAACAGTCTCTAATCCACCTGTGTAGATCTTTTCATGAAGTTAGCAATATATATCTAGTATTAATAAGATTAGTAGTAGGTTTTGTGCTAGTATGAGCCGAAGTACGAAAATTATAAACTACCAATTTTCTCATGATTTTAGGCACGAAGAGTAATTATATTGTTTTGGTCGTATCACCATAGATCAAATTATCCGCATTGAGTGATAGAGGTCGTTTCAGCTCTACAATAGAGTGCTTTGTTGGGAGTAGAGTTTATAACCACTAATTTTCCTCCTGGTTGTGTTCTGAACCTCCAAAAGTTATAAACGATTGTTGTATTATATTTATATCAAATCTAGATGGTATATCCGTTACCCAATTAACCTTATTTTGAAATGCCATATTTCACTAGTGAACTGAGATGCACAGTAGACGTTTTGGATTTCTCGAGGCGAATATTAATCTGTTTAAGCTTTCGATCCATTTGTTTATGGTTTGTGGACAATGGGAACAATGAATTGTCTGCCGCTCAATATGTGTCTGAAATGTTTGATGGCTAAGTAAATGGTAGTAAGTCACCATCAGAAAGAGTGATATCATATCTGTGCAGTGGCAAGTCTTTCCGATAAAAGAGTAATAATGTCGAAAGGAAGCCAACTGCAGCTGTTAGTCAAGTTCCACTCCTGGACTTCAAGTTATTTGTTACTGGTCTCCGGGGTCTTGCAGGTACAGGCACCCTTCCAGTTCTGATAGTGAGTTACTTCTGGTCTACTGTGGAACGGTGAAGATTTAGTTTTATCGAATTTGGTAATTCCGCGAGTAAATCTTGTTACTTTGCAGTTGCTAACGTTGTGGTCTATTTCGAATTGAAAGGAATGATGTGACTTTATTTATACCGAGTAACCGAAAATATTTTTAAGTGTCGAACCGCATTTCTTTGTGTCGAATAGGAATGCATATCTCTAAAAAGTCCTTCCAAATATTACCAATTTTAGATTCTTTACAGTACCATGATCACTTTCTTGAATATTGCAATTTTAGTTCTGTTGGAAAATTGGCGACGTTTGCTGACTCATTTCAGTTTTTTACTAAGAGATGATACTAAGCAACGTACCAGTAGCCACCAGATATTTAAACCAGAATTTCCGTCGCTTAGATAAGACATGAGATCGTTTTTGCTCCCCTCATTAATCTTCGCGACCTGCATAGTGGTTTTTGATGGAATTTTGTTCTCTGAGTTGGGTGGTTTGGTCGTAGAGCTTTCATCGTTCTTCTGAACAACATCATCAGCATAAACTTTGGTTAGAAGTAAAGTGTTCAAATTTCTCCACATATGGTTCACAGCTTGTTCTGTAAATCTCGATGCTGATTGGTTCTTGTTTACCTTAAACCTGTTATTGTTTACCTCTTTGTTTTGGTTGTATATCCTATTAGTTTGATTTTTGTTCCTATGTTTGTGCATAATTTTTCTGACTGGTTGATAAATTGGATCGACTTCAATGTGCTATTTTGTTGTCGATTGACCTGAGTGTCTAGATATTAGAAATTCTCTGCTGTTTTTGGGATTTCCTCTGTCCAAAACCCCCACACTTTTCTAGTCGAATGTGTGTCCGCAGTTATCCACGTGGATTGATATAGGTGAGAGCATGTCATGGCGCTTGGCTACTAATCGATGTTCATGCAGGCGCATTAGCAGCAACATTTCTGTTGCTCAGCCACGTTTTAGTTTGACATTGTGGCAGGGCTGGTCTAATATTTGTCAGTCAATTGGATCCTCATGCACAAGAATAACCTTTTCTAAAGTTTCGTAAGGTCCCGAAACTTCACTGGTAAACATAATAAGTGTGATATGCCTGTTGAAATCGCGCACTAGTGTCTTGACTACTACGAGGAATTGTGTACGTTGGTCTGATCCGCCATGCTCGTGGAAGTCAGCTTCTGCGTAGCAGAACCTGTCTCCTATGTTATCGGGCCAAAGTAGCACTAGATGAAATGAGGGAGGTGAAAGTCTTGATCTTAAGCATTCTAGGAGTCTGTCCCGTCATGGTAAAAAAATGTTCTAGACTACCAAAAAAATATCACAATATATAAAAAATAACAACCAAAAAATCATACGTAGTGTTTCAACCAGGAACAGACTCATAATCTAAGAAATGGTGTATCAGATCACGTTTGTCTCACCTCTAAAGATGCCACAAGTATTCGGAGTTCGGAAATTTCTTTACCAGCAAAACCTTTACATTCGAAGTACACCAACCCAGCCAAATCAGAAGTCGGAAATAAAGGCGTTTGAATATATATTTAGGTTATCGGTATGTCGAGGAAAGCTTGCTCTAAGCTGGCTAACAGTCGAAAGGGATGTATATCACGGCGTAAACGGCCATAATCTGGTGTGGATGCGTGACCAACTGCCTTCAGCTAGGTGAGTCCAGTAAAAGTAATGCAGTTAGCATCAAATGTCGAAGACTTACAGGAATATTTATTTCAGGGAATTATTAACCGCTACACGAGAAATCATTTCATGTAACATTGATTATAATAAATTAATGATGCATCAACTATAAGGTTCTGTCGGTTGAAACAATATTAGTGATTGTGAGTTCTTGTTATTTGGAAGCCAGTTGAGTTGGAGTCCTGACCAACAAATACAAACCACTACTGAAACACAATCATTTACTCTAAAATAAACCAGTTATTTTGTCCCCTTGTTCCTCCGTATTTTGATCATACCTGAACGAGTAAACTCACCACGTGTCCGTACAATATCAAATGATTACCCTCAAGAACGTATTTCGTTCTCTTATCATTCAAATGGTTGGATCTATCTTGAAACCAGAAAAGGTCTTGGGGTCGATAAACTAGTTCTTTATGTCTTGTGGTATAGGTGTTAGCGTATTGTTTTAATGTGTTGGTTATTAAATGGCGGAATCGAGTGCGATGCTTTGTGACTATGATTCTTCATTGGTTAGTACAATTTTTACCATTAAGCTTTATAATCGTTGTCCTAACAGCAGTCTTCGGATGATGGGAGTGTTGAAGAGACACGAAGGAGTTCAAAGAGCCCTTTGATATCCCAGGTAATACGCGTTCAAAATGCATAATAAAGTTGCTAAGTGAATAGTAACATTGAATATGAGTGGATATTTGATAACACTAGGTAATAGATAATACTTTCAGGACGAAAGTGGTTTAGAATAGCTCTTGTTTGGTTTTTACTAGAAGTCCGGGTTTCATTGCTCAAAGATAATAGAACCATTTGGTTATTTGGTTCTTTTAACCTTCCCTGTCTTATTCTTGCAGAGCAGTGTAATATATTTAGTAAAACAGGCTATTACCTAAGGTGTCCAGTGCATGACTCGTATTCGGCTTTGAAACGTACCGAGTGTAGCTGTCTCATAAAAGAGGCATGGTTTGTCCCGTGTTAAACACGTGACGTTTTCATTACTCTGAATTTCGAAACCAATTTGCCAGACTAACAGTTATTGTTGCGGCATTTTCTGTCGTGCAAGTAGTGGCGTTTAATTTGATTTAGTTCATGACTCATGGTGACAGATCGATACCGTGAGAGTTCATTCACTAACCATAGGGAATGTAAACGTTTGTGGATCTGTCATTGTCGTTCGATTGGATTCTTTTTTCACCATTCAAATCGATTGCCAACAAGTTTCGAAATCGTGTTCGATACTTGTAGTATTTGCGCGTACATTTAGCAATACATTACAACTTCTTTGCTTTTATAACTTCACTCATTGCTCACAGTGAATAACAGTCCCTATGCCGTTCGGACCTTCGATGTTCAGTTCAGATGACTCTGGTGTCTGAATTCCGTTCTGCCAAGGCCTAATGGTGTCATAAGGACCACCGAAATTTGTAGTTAATTAATTGGTGAGTCATTGCAATGGTGATTGTTTTTTAAACAATTTTCGAGGTGTGTTTTTAGTGTTTTGTGAATTTAGGTCTGTATGATAGCTTGTTTCTTTTCTCAGGAGGAAACTAAGAATGCTGCCACAGTAAAAGATGGGGTTCAACTCACTATCGAAACAAAAAAGAACTCTATGGTTGTATCTCCATCACCTAGCTACATTATTGATGGTAAACGTCGATCGAGGAGTCGTGAACATAGTCCTTCAAGGCGACACCGCAAACGAAGTTGTGCGCCCAGGTACGTCGTTAAAATATATTGCGAATAAAGTTAGTACGCTAGGATTCCTGACTAATTTCTAGTCTGCAGGTCACATAAACTCTTTCTATAACCTAGCCTGAACAGCCCTAGGCACCCAAATACTTATACGGCCGAGCGTGAGGAAAGTCTGTTCTCCCTTGAAATGCTCATACGGCCACGTGTATATACCGGCTACCAGGAATGTCCTACTTGTTACTTTCTAGCGGTGGGGGTATTCACAGAATTACTTGCGCCTGTCACTCAGTGGAGCATAGGCGTAAAGTGAAGCCTAACTCGATGTGATGGGTATAAAGAATACACCTAGATTAGTTGGAAAATCCTAATTCCGAATCAATAGTGCACATGACCTCCAGGATTTTGAAGGGACAAATGGCGTATAAACGTATTATTGTTCACTGGCTCCATGGAGCCACATCTGACATCTCTTCCCTGCCTTGTGGATGAGACCTCTAGGCCTGAGGCTCAGGAAGTGGTCTCTTAAGAAAGCCACCTGCTTCGGTTTCGGCACCCATGCAGTACGCTAGCCTACACAAATCATTGGATTTGTGTAATGCATATATATATATATATATATATATATATATATATATATATATATATTTGGGCGCTTGTTTATACCAGTGTTGGTATTAAAATGAATATTATTACTGAGTAGTTCGGTATGTCATAGTATGCATTACAGTCAGTTCACTAACTTTCACTTTATAATATCGTGTACTTTTCTGTACTGATTTACAACAAACTCCATAAGATTTTTTGCTTTATCACTGATTTTAATCCGTTTGGTTTGGATCTTACATACAACATGATTTACAGAAATGAAAAACGAAGGAAAGTAGTTTATTTCAGTCAGATTTCTTTACATAGTTTTCCTTAATAGTGTATTCAACCAGCCAAAAGAATTGCTTTCACTAGTTTGGTAGCATAAAAGCACTCATGGCAAGATGGGAACTTTTAAGATAAGACATGCGGACTACCTTTCTTTTGAGTGTGGGACAGTCACGATCACTGATTTGGAAGACATACATTTACTGTTAAAATCATCCTATTAGATCTCATTAGTTGTCCGGTAGTCATTCTTAACACTTACATTCTTAATCCGACTTCTGAATAAGTGAAATGAAATCCAAAAACAACCAAAAAGCTAACTGTCCAACGGGACCCTAAGAAATATGATTGTGGAAGCGAATTAACTGATGTAGTTTACTTTAGTAGATCTTTTGGGATAGGAGGTCGTTGTTTTTTTCATCAGTACTTCTCGCTGATTGACCATAAACGTAATTTCTAACCATAGTTCCGTGCAATTGAATAAATATTGATATAATGTTCGCAAAGCTTAGTCTACCAACTTGCTGTATTTACCGACAGTCCACAGGTGAACGACAGCCATATTGTCGCAATTCCCATTTTTTAATTGTAATAAACATCACGAGTACTAGTGCTTTGCATCAGTTAATTTTCTATCTGTACACAAAATTCACACTTCAGTCGTTATTCGGCCTGTCACTGCACCCCGCGATTGTCGGTATTTTTCAAATTTATTAACTTAGTCGACATAACGAGGTGCTATTAATGTCGAGGATTAGTTAAGTCTACTGACGAAACTAAAGTCGCACGCTACATAAGGTCCTAAAACATAAACACATTCAGACGCCCCACAGTAGTAGTATTCCTCGACCTTAAGGCGGCATTTGACCCTGTCGATCGTGAGGTTCTATAGCAGTTCACCACTGAAAGAAGTACCAACGAAGTACATTAACCTCATACAGGCTCTCTACTCGAACACAACTGGTAGAGTGAGAGCTTATGGCGAACTGTCATCAGAATGGATTACCTCAAGTGGTGTTCGTCAGGACTGTCCACTCTCTCTATTCTTGTTTGAATTTGTCGTTGACGTGCTTTTAGAGATAACACTTTCCTTATCTAAATTTCCAGCAGTTGAATCTCAGCACGGATACAGAAGGCTTAACTAGCTTTTGCCAACTTGCGTCATTTAAGGCGTAGGCGAGATATCCGTCTATCAACCAAAGGATGGGTTTACTGCGCAGCAGTTCGTTCCGTCCTACTTTATGGCAGTGAAACGGGGCCGGTAAGAGTACAGGATATTACTAGGTTACTAGTATTCGATCATAGGTGTTTTCGAAGCATTGCTCGTATATCCTGGGACCACCGGGTAAGTAATACAGTTGTTAGAAAACAGGTACTAGGTAAGGATGGAAAATCAATTGATAAAGTAGTGAGACTTGAAATGGTTGGGACACGTGTTACGCGTGCCCAACTACCGATTGCCCCGGCGTGCGATGTTTTATGGTGTAGGAGTAGGTTGGAAGAAAGCTAGGAGCGGCTAGAACAGAACATGGCACAAGTCCATGAAGTCACTGGCAAGTGAACTGATACATGTTGGTAGGTGTAGGCTACCTGGTTGGGACCCGCGAGACGATAGCAACCGATGGTTAAAGACCTTGAATAACATGGCGCAGGTGCATCCGCTCTTTGTGTTCTCCTCATTTCTAACCTGAATTCTTCATGTCCTTTTTTTCTCTTCCCGAATTTATTTCACTGGATTATACTCCTTGAATAACATCTTCAAACCCCAAACTTTCCGATTACTGCTTATACATTTACTACCTCTACCACTATGGGATTTGAATCGACAATTGTATCTGGGTTTTAATGTGGTATGGCAACTTGAACTGATGTACGTACGTAGTACTACATTGTTGCTGACTGACTGAAAGTTTCACAAATATGGTAGAATTGGTGCACGGCAAACTAAAATCTATATCCATTACTTATCTCCTCGTGTTCAAGCACAAAAGTTGGAATGCTACTTAATCACTTGAATGGGACGACTTATGAGACACCAGATCTTCTAATAGTTGACCTGTGTTATTGTCTTTTTATTTTCGTGAACCTCATACTTTCGTAAATTCTATTCTGATGTTTAATTGGTTCAGATCTGATCGCGGAAGTCCAAGTGAACGTGTGAGCTCTTCAAAACACAAACGTTCATCCCACCATTCAAGGCACAAACATTCATCCAGAAAGCATCATCACCGTGATTCCCACTGTAGTGACTATAAACATCGTTATCGCCGAAAGCATCGACGTCACAGTTCAACTTCATCTACCAGTTCATCTAGTGATACTAGCCCTGAAAGCAAACCTAGTCGGCGTGGAAGTCATAATGGTAGAAATTCAACACAACTCCTCACAACAAGTTCCAAGGATTATTTCGTAAGTCTGTCATGTATTATCTTCAGGAAATCTTCTTTGGGTACTTTAATTTAATATTCAGTAAACTTTATTTTTACCAATTGTCATCCCTAGCATAGTTATTGTTTTTGTGCTGTTAAGTGAAGCTCGAGTTTCAAGACTTGAATTGAAACTAATTGTTTGTAGTTACTAGTTGTTTCATTTTATGGACAACGCACAAAACATCAGCTTCTCTACATTCGTCCTTTTTTTATCTTATGTCAATTTATCATCTGCTTTCCATAATCTCTTTCAGACTTCGCAACCGAAGCCAGAAAACCAGAACACTAACCTCATTATCTCAACGACGGGAGTCACCGTGACGACAAATTCTCCGGCAGTTTCTAGTCAAAGTACGAATCTTACTGTCTTAACCTATCAGTATTTCAGATCATAAAATTAGATTTTAGAATACAATTCATTAGCCACTGAGGAAAATGTTAATAGATATAAAAAAAAGACTAAAACAAGGAAACACTTCTGGGGTAACTAGTTGTTCGAGAATTAAGAGATTTCAGCTCAACATAAAAGTAAGGAATCATGGCATGTTCATTAGACGTCTAAAGCAAACACAATGTACTCACTAAATAATCTTATATCCCGATATGATTAGAACCTCACAGCGGAATATCATTTTATGATGTACTTTACTTTTTAAAACTCGTCTAGTGACAGATTTACCATATTATTTTTCAACTCTGAAGCTATCGTAAAAATGTGATATTCACCGTAGATATTACTCCGCCGTAGTGTGATATTGCAAATAAAATTTTTATCATTGGACGGATCAAATTGGTAAATGCGGACAATTGATTAGCATAATTCTTTCAAAACCATGAATGGTAAAACGTAGAGTCTCTAATTGCAGGTTTATGAATATAGTCAAACTGAAATCAATATATATGTAGTAGGTCAATATGAAATGACAGTTCTTTGTATATCGTGCTAAATGTTTGTCCATTTTGTTCAATATATCCATTTGACAAACACCGTAGAGTTTCAATGTCACGTCACACATGTCGAAAAACAAAGGTAACTGAAGTCAAAGATTTTACGAAGTCATTAAGATTTTATAAACGTGATCACTAGTATTTCATAAGGTGCTATTCTTCCAAAATTTAATTACCTCGATGCTTTTTCGTCCAGGTACTACGACGAATGTTCCTGTGCAGCGGTTGACAGCACAAGATATATTAGACAAAATACAAAAGCATCAACAAGAGCAAGCCAAGGCTCAAGCATTAGCCGCTGCCGCCGCCGCGAAGCTCCCGAAATACTACAACCCAACCACTGTCAACGCCGTTAAACTCGCGGAGCAACAACAAAAGCGCAAATTATTGTGGTCCAAAAAAGATGGTGAAAACACTAGTTCTGTAAGTAATAGTCTATTTTGGAAAATAAGGTTCATTTTTGGTGTGTTGACTAAATCCTAAATGTTCATTGCGAACTATAAAATCTTTATTTTTAACCTAGGAAAGTAAAACTCTTTGGACAGCCACATCTTTAATTGCTGGAAAAGGTGATTCTGCAGCTGCAGCTAAATTTCGGAAATTGATGGGAATTCATGATTCTTCTGAAGAAGTCGTGGACGGAAGCGCTGCTCATGTCAATGAAACTGAAGCTTTGCGTCGAGCTGAAGCGCAAGCTGAACTTTTCCGGCGACTTGAACACGAATATGAGATGTCTCGTACCATAACACATACTCAGCGAGGCGCCGGTCTTGGTTTCAGTTCATCCAGCCATATCGATTACAATGCATATTCTGCTATGCAAAGTGAAAAAGACAAAAACCCTAATTTATGATTGTATTTATCTCACTAGAAATCACTTGTACAGCTCACCGATATTTTAAAGAATACCTAATTATTTTCAAACAGTTCCGTCATTTTTACTTATCGTAAATAACCAACGATCAAAACTAATTGTATGAGGCTGATGAAGAAAACTAAACCTTAAGTAGGTACTTTGTTAAATGATGTCATATACTCCATAAAAACACCTTACTATTAAAGCATTAGAATTTCTTAATTAAAAGGTTCTCATCAACCGATAAGTTTGTCTTAGCTACGGATATTCCTGTAATTGGTCTAAATGCAGTTATCACGTAAAAGTGTTAGGCGGATAGTCGTATTTGCGGAGGGCTTTTAGTGGGAAAAGGTATTCAATGAATAGGAAGGACAGTTATTGCTATCACATAAGCACTGATCTGGTACGAATTACCACATTCGAGCTGGTGCTCAAATGCTGAATTTTATCTTTCAATCGAACAAGTCACTTAGAATAATTAAATTCAAAATTTGGAATTAAGATCTTTCCAGTGTTGCCTACATAGTAAAAGGTAAACCTAACATCCATGCAACTAAGCCTAAGCATTATGGTGTTTTTTTTATCACAGAGCACCCGTCCGTGGCTGCTACTTTGACGTGTTGATCGAGCTTGCCTATCGTGATGAGTCAGGCGAGCTATACTGGCTGGAACATATGTTCCTGTAGGTTCTACCATGCCAGGCAGGTCGGCTGGAAAACAGTATGACAAAAAGCAGCAACTCAAGGTCTGAGGGCGAAGTCGTACTGCTGACTGTAGAAGGGTGTGACAGCAGTAAGGTGTTTTCTTAGGACAACCAGCGTCTGCAGCGGTACTGCCTTCTCACAAGGAAGGAAGGGTTAGAAAAGGTCGACCCGAAGAATGTCATACCTTACCTCACGGATTTCCGCCTCCGGTGACAAGGCCTTTGGAAGAACGGAGCTAAAACGTTAAAAACTTCCCACAAAAAGTCCGTGCGTGACGGGCTTCAAACAGTTGTCCCTTGGGCTCTGTGGTCACGCTCCCAGGTCGCTAAGACCAACATTAGCCAACCTTCCTTTTCAGGGTCCTCAAGAAATACCCTTCCACGGTCTGGGCAGCCGGAAAGTGACAGCCCTCATACCCGTAACAACGCACGAGACCAATTTGGTCATGATCAAATCCTTCCCACACCTGATAACTTTCTTATTCTCACGTCTCCTTTAGGTACGCAAAGTATTTCCATTAAAACCCTTCTAAAGATATTTACTGACTAGTTGCTTGGATGCGGAACATATAAGTTCACATTTAAAAGCAATCATACTTCTTTAGATTTAACAAACGAGATCCGATGCGGGTTCATTAGGGGATGAGATTTTGTCACAACTTCCCCCCGCCAACGTTCCACTTTAAACTGTTTACTTGAAGTTGAACTTTTTTTGGGTCACCAATACTATTTTCCTTTTCCATCTCTCACTTTTGTAATAACTGAATAGACTATCAGTTGCTCTTTGCTTTTTATCGTGATAAGTTTCCGAGACCTGCTGGCTTCCCCTAACCTTTTCGTTTAGGTTGCTTATAGAAGTCGCTACCGTCTTTCCAGCAAAAACCAAATCATACTAGATCAGCACATAATGAACATCCCATTTTTGGTCAGCTAGTTGCTTAAGCTAGTTCTTCCTTTACTGAGATAAACACTTACGAGCCAAATTATGAGGGGTTATCTTATTAGTTTTTCTGCATTTAGTAAGTTGCGAATGAGTGCGCGCTCAAACTGAAGCTCGAGATCCAGATATGTACAACAGAAATAGTCGTAATTTCCCATCAACCTCCCCAAACGATGACCGAGAAGGGTAAGTCTTATTTCTGTCGTCTAATTAATATCGAGATTTCCGAGGACGGTCAGCATCCCATTTTTAAAAACATTGCCTGTTGAGAATAAATGGTTGCATTTGACAGTCAATATCAACGGAGTAAAACACAAATCGGAACATGAGCGTTGAGGCCACCCATCATAATTACACCTGAGCGTATAGCTTTCTGAAGTATGCCAGAAATTGTTCAGTAGAACTCATTGAAATTTTATCCAGAGACCTTACGAAATTACAGCCTAACGACATAGAAATACTAGGATCAAAACACTCATTTCATGCAGACAAGTAGAATAATAAGTTGCAGACGGGAGTAATGATTATTCGTCATTTGTTTTTTACAGAATCATTTATTAAGGATGGAAGCTCTTCGAAAGTTCTAATTTCAGAACTATAATCTGATGATTTTATCTTCCATCTGTAAGGGAATACATTTCGTATACGTTCATTAAAGTCGTTTCTATCCACTGGGTTTATAATGTACCACATACATAAAGACAGTGCTCCCAGTGATGAGGTAGTTATAATTGTTGCTACTCCAAGAGCACGAGCAGCAAAATGTATACCAGATTCGTGCATAGTTTTGTCCTGATTAATTGCCTGTGAACAGTATAATTGAGAAAAATGACATAACATTAAAATTAGGTTGGAGAATTGGTGAACTTTTGAAAGTAGGCTTGATAGCTTGGACATTTGCAGCGATATATTGTTATTTACATAAGCAATAATGAATTTTATAGTTTTTACGCCAAGTGATTTCAAATCAGTTTAGTGGTTCAGGTCCAGTTCACCCGTTAGATTTATGTATGTACCACGTGGTTTCGGCATGAAATGGGTTGAATAAATTCGGCACTGAAGCTATCAAGATTAACCCAGCTATATATCAATGCAGAAGAATCGCTTTATAGAACGGTTCCGCTGACCCAGATATACTAAAACGATATTCCAAATCAACTTGATGCTCTTGTGTTTTCTATCCAAGCCCACATAGCTTATTCTAGCTTCCGGACAAGCAACTTATTTATTCGTCTTGAGTCACATTTTGACCTTGTCAATTATTCAGTTATCAATTTTTTCCATTTCTATGTAAGTGTATGTGTGTACATTTCTTATTTTACTCATCGCATCTATGGTACTTATTTTTGTCTGAGTATAAGTATGCATTCACGATTGGTTAAATCGAGTTGGCTCAATTGCCTTCTCCAATCTGTTTCGCTTCGTTTCACCGATCGTTTTATTTGATCAACGATTGTATGAATACATGTATTCGAAATTCATCCTTGTATTTGACTTGTTTTAATCCCGTTATTTACTGGCGTGAGTTAAGTTTATAATTATATACGAGGATTGGTGACATGTATATTTCAGTAACAATCATTCGTATGATCCAAATGGAGTGAGATCTTGGACCACTAAAATCTACCAAACATAACAGCTAGGAAAATGCACATCTTTTGTTTTTTTCAACATGTGATACGATGACTAATACTTCAAACTCAAATATGAGTTATGTAGGCAGAAAAAAGATAGGTTTATCACGAGACCGCAGCACTCCATGAATATTTATCAAGTGAATGTAGTATATAAAATGATGATCCGTTAAAAGATAAAGCTACGTGAATGTAACGAGACTTATCATAAAAATAACTTGACAAAATAGCAAATGGTAGTCATGGTATGGTCCATTAGTTAAGAGACATGATATTGTTTATTCTTAACTTTTATCAAATAAAGTCAATTGTAATTAGAAAGATACACTAACTCGACTTTTTAGAAATCTCGATCTTAATGTCATTTCATAATTCTACTTTTTAACATCACTCATCTTTATTGAGCCAGTTCAAAAGTTCACAAAACACAGGCCAGTAGGAATGATCAGAGATTGATAGTATTCATATCTGAATAAACTATAGGAATGGACAATCGTAGTGTGTGATAAAAAAGATAAGACAGCGAAATAACTTCAAGGTAAACTACCGAAAATTTTGAGAAAAATAAGAAAAAATCTTACTTGCATGAATGGTAATGGATTGACCTTCTTGAAAGATGATATTCTATATGTGAATCCTGCCATTAAAGACAGACCTGATATACCTATAAACGAGCCAAAAACTATTTTTCTACTAATATAGCAAGATTTTCCTTACCAAAATAATTTGGGGGAATTTTTCGGCTTTTCTTATCCTCGTGTTCTGTCATAGTATCTGGTGTAATGAAATGCACGAGGTCGCTAAAACAGTAATAAATAACATTTAGTTTAAGAAAAAACATATTTGAGAATGATAGGAAATAATCACTTTGTTAGACATTAACTATAACTAGAATATCAATGCAAATCTATACAGGGTTTACATCAGTCAGTTATGTGCAATGTAGAACCTAGCATATTTGTGCAGGGACTCAAGTTGTCACAACATATCAGCACATAGAAGAGAAATTATCAAGAAAAGTTCTAAAGTACTAAAAGTAGTAACATTGTATGTATTAGTAGAAAACATTTGGAACAGACGATATGATTCCAGAAGAATGAATGAATTCGCAGAGCGAAATGTATGGGATGATTAAGAATTCAAGATCTTAGAAAATGCAAAACGTGAATGCATCTTAGCCAATATGAACAATCCGGAGACATGTCACATAGGTTCCGACTATTGGTTACAGTAATAAAAAGGAACCCTAACCAGTTAGTCTGCATTTAATAACATGGCTCGCTTCAACAGTCACTAACTTAAACGAATGGTTACGTTTTACTCTTGCCGCCTTTAGCTATATATATAGTCTACAAGGTAACAAGGAAATTAAGGAATCAATGTGGAACAAATTCAATTTAAAATCAATAGAATATGTTTTAATATAAATGAAATTTATTTCTGACGTTTACACAAATCACACAGATAAATTACCAATTAGAGAACAGAGAGAGAAAGATAAAAGAAATGCAAACTAGGAATGATATGCTTTTAGTGTTTGTGATAAAGCGTTCCATTTTTAAAAGTGTTTAGTTCATGTCAAAATTATATTTAATAATGGAATATTATCACAAAGAACAATTTCACACGAATTTAATTATTCTAATGTGAAGATTTTTAATAAGAATAAAAACATCAAAGTTTATAATTAAGCAACTTGAATTGTTGTGTTTGGTTTTTTGTGCAATGTATTACGTAGATTTTCAATTTCATTCTCTTGTAAGTGTACTTCAGCTGTAGTTTCAGCAAGCTTTAAAATAAAAAGAGAAAATTTTACATAGTGATGTATATGTATTTTGGACATAGTATAATTAGTATAAGGAATTTCTAGCGATTTCTGAAATAATATGAAATGACATTCATTAAACAACTAATGAAAACCATAATGCACTGAAGCGCGGTTTTATCCTATTATGGGACTCTTTATCAGTACAAATTCAGTAGATTTTGATTCGATGGCTTAGAGACTATGAGTTTGCCACGAGAAATGAAGGTTCTGAGTTGCCTTATTGGTGGGGTTGTTGATGTACTCTGTTGATGGTTCCTGTACTGGAACGAAACAGCTGTTCAGTACTTTCTGGATTTCAGTGGTAGTCTGAGAAAGGTCAGTTCCCAATATAAACTATAAAATAAGTTGAATTATGTATACTTGCACATAAGGATAATAGCAATCTAAACCTAAATAATACCATACCATATCTAAGAGTATGTCAATTTTCAACTTTAACAAATTATTTTCTTCAATTAATTGATGATTTTCTTTTTTAATACGAAATGTTTCACGACCTAATTGAGTTGCATTTCCAGATTCATCATTTAACACTCCATTTTCTCCTTCTGAAATGAAAAATATTTATAGATAATGAAATAACTTGGATAAAATAACGGCATCACTCACAAAAGACTATTACAAAAGATTAAGTGATACTAAACAAATTAAGCTACATTATTGATTTTCTTGTAAGTTAATTTAATAACCGCTTTATTGGGGATGTTAAATTCCTACATAGGATTTAGTAGATAGAAATTGAGTAACAGACTATATCTTGTTTTATAAATTCACTTTTTATTCAGTTAAATTTCATATCAATTTCGTGTGATTTCTGTCCATTCAAATTTGAGTTGTTTCAGTGTAATCTTTCATTCACTTGACTTTGGTTTAGTATGACGACTAATTGCAGAAATGCTTTGTGATTGTGCGCTTACATAACAGCTATTTAATAATTTATGTAACTAATAATTATTAAATTACTCAGAATATAGCTGCATAACCCAGAGAAATACGACTTATCTTCTGAGGTCTTGTCCAATACATCTTCCTTACTCGAATCCTTTCTCTTCCATTGAGTGGGAGTTAATTGTTGAAGTGTTATGTACTAGTCGTCTGGTCTATCTCGTACGCACTCGTAGTCAGAAACTTAAGCATTCCGAAACATAACGTGTATAGATTAAATCAAGTCGATAATACAAACCTTATAACTCATAAGTCGTCTGTATTCATCATTAGTAGATGGTAGTTCAAATGACTAGTGTATGATATATATGCTAAACAATACAACAAGAATTTATTTCAACTCCACTTTATCATTCATAAAACAGATTGTAATTATGTGAGAAATACAAGTTACTTTTGAAAAGTAATGATTTTTACTTTGGTCTGAACAGAACAACTAAAATTCTTTTTACTTTACATTTCAATAATAGTTGAGCATTAAAATGATTTCACATTAGATAACAGTGACCTTTAGTTAAAAAATTTTTTCAGAAATTCATAAACATAAATATTTTTAGAAGAGGTTTGTGGAGATTTTAGAAATTTCATAGGCTGAAATCATGAGTCAATTGAAGCTAGACCAGGTCTGTTGTGAGATATCAGCTCACTGAAGACAATGGTATACGGTGGCGCAACTTCGTGGATTGGTTGAAGTTTGACATTAACACCATTGGTTGCCGACTCAGTGGTCTAGTTTGTTAAGCACTTGGCGCGAGACCGATAGGTCCTGGGTTCGAACCTTGCGGGGCGCGGGATCGTGGATGCACACTGCTGAGGAGTCCCATACTAAGACGAAACAGCCATCCAGTGCTTCCAGGTTTTCTATGGTGGTCTAGCTTCAATTGACTCATGATTTCAATCTGTGATATATTTCAAAAAAATATCCAGATAAATGAAATACGATAAATGTATATAGGGTAGAATAAAAATACCGAAGGAAAACGGATAACAGTAACCTAAACAATAATATGGAGATTTAAAATTGTTATATAATAATCCAATGGAAACTAGGTTATGTGATATGATAAATTTTAGAGACAAATTTAATATTATTCAAATTAAATCCAATATTTTTAAGGATGAAAGAAAAAAGTGAACACTAAACCTACTGAGTAAAATAGACTATTCTTGTTCATATCATTACCAGAAGTTTGATTTGATAATTTCGAATAAATTGAGCATTGGACAGATTGTTATAAATAAATCCATTAATATATTTGTAATATCCTGAGTGGAAAAATTAAATTTTCCGACGTTTCGTAACTCAGTGTAAGTCAAATTCTTAATTGAATAATTTTATTATAATTATAACTTATTCTCTGAAAAACTGGCTTACACTGAGTTACAAAACGTCAGAAAACCTAATTCTGCTATTCATTGGGATATTACAAATATATTTTTATTTGTTTTTTCAATTATTTTATTACAATAGATTTAATTGGAAATGGTCATTTGACAAAATTATTCATCAATAACATTGAGTTCTTAACCTATGTATGAAAATTAAACGTTCTCATAAAAAAAAAATGTTACCGATTGTAATCCGATGACATACATTCAAGGGATAAGTCAACACATATCAATAATAGAGTTCTGGGAGTGTTGTCTACAGGAAATACATGTAAGAAAATTGCTTCTTTTTTATCACGTAGCATTAATATTACACGAAACATAAGCAACCAGAAATATGAAGGCGTGTATTTATTAGAGTTCTAGTGTGAAATCTACTACAGAGAGAAAGAGTGCTTCATTGCAGAAACATTTCATAATATTCGAAATTAATGCTGTGGCTGTTTACAAATATAATCAAGTAGATTTGTGAGTAGAACAAAACATAGTTTTGGTTTCAGTATATCTTCGTTATACAATTGCACATTACACATACGGTGTTTATTCAATGTACTAAAAAAATATATAAAAAAAATTGTTAGGCAATACGTCCTCAAACTATCAAGAATGTCTTCTTTTATTAAAACAAAACTAATTATTTTAAAGAGAACTCTCTTTAAGATAATAAAGGGAACTATGTGTATGAAAACTAATTATTATTGATATATAAAGAAGTATTGCTTCATAAGTCCAGAAATATTTGCAAATATAACTTTAACATCTATCTTTTATTGTACTCATAGTAAATATGAAAAACGTACCAATGATCCACTGTCCATTACGGAATACAAGATCCCGTCCACTTAAACGTGTTCTAATTGGTCCAAAATCCATGCTGAACTCTTGACTTCGCGTAGTTGAATCTAGATGTGATAAATTTGTCATACTAGACGCTTTTCGAGCAGGAAACTTTGGTACATTGAATTTTCGTTGGAAAAGAGGCATTTTTTGATTACAAATAACTAGCCAAAAAGTGGTTGATAACAGTATTCGATTACCTTGAAAAATCAAGTTTTTTTATATTACAATATAGATTGCGTAAGTAATAGGAACGAGACAAGACACTTTCAAAACAGTAGCGCAGTACCCTGTGAACACAATTCATGCTAAATTATGAACTATACTTTTCTGTTGAAGGCTGAAAATATTGCGCAATATTACACAGTAAGAAGAGGAAGTGTGGATTGACAATCTAGTGACTACATCAAGGAGACATATTCAGGCGATAATTCGGAAAACTTGATAACTAATTCTAAGACTAAATTTTTATGTTTGGCTTCGTATAAGACAGGAAAAAGACTCAGTAATAAAAAAATGACAAATTAACGAAGGTACAGATAGAAATTAATTGAGTAATTGTTTTATTGACAACCACTTTACCGAAAGAACGCGAAATGTTCAAGAGTATCTTTGAGCATGTCACAATGATAAGTGTTAAATTTTATCCACAAACTCAGATTTTATTGCTTGTATGGCTGCCTAGGTGTTGGACAGTGTGAATACAATTCTTTAAATACGGTTCTTGTTTTCATTATGTGAATATTTTACACAATACTGTTGAGATTTACATGCAAAAACTAGTTATTTCAAACATTATGAAATGTTACAGTTTACAAACTTTAATTATTTTTTAGATCATTTATACTGCATCAAAAAACAAAATTGTTTGTTGCATTCCTGAATGACAGTTACCAAGGTCATGGACAGATTATTCATCAAGTTGTATTACCTGCTATTGGGGTCAATGCTTCCGACAATTGAATTAATTAAGGTGTTTACTCATACTTTGCATAACAAAGTAGAATATTGACAACTACCTAAAATAATTTTATATGGATAGCTCATGAGAAAATTGTTTAACAGAAAAGGACTAATTTACATGGTTATTCTAACTGACATATCAAATTAAAATTTTAGTTTTTAGAAGAAATGTTCTAAAGTAGTTAAAACAACAATATTCATATGTAATCGTCAAGTAAGATATTGGCTGGATTTGTCTGTATCTATATTGTTCTCATTGAAACATGAAGTTAGTAACCATCCTCATGAACATTAGATTTTCATCTACCAAGCTGATAGATTATGAGGAATACCATTTGTTAAACAAGTATTCATCTTATTGCAAGTATTTATATATTTAAGGCTGAATTGAATAATCACGTTAACATTCTGATTAATTGATTAGTGACTAAAACAAATGAACTCTTTTATAAGCTGAATACAATGAAAAGATATGCTGCTGATAAATAGTAGTCTTAAATTATAGATTTTGTATATTTTAAGTATATTGTATGATATGTTGATGTCATTGATCTAATTCCTTTGAAATTATGAATGGAAATTACATCGAATAGTACTAATATAATGAAATAAAATAAATTCATTATAAAAATGAAAGATAATATAATACAAACAATCATCATTGACAATGTTTTAGATTAAGAAAACATAAAATTTCAAAAGAATACGATTTATATTTTACATCATTTTTCAGTTAACAAATTGTAATTCATTAGGATGTAACAGCAAAAATAAAACAAGCAAAGGACTGAGCAAGTTCAAATCACAGTGGGATAGGTCAGGAATGAATATATACATCGATTTGATGAGGAAAGGATTTTTCGTATTATTGTCCTTATTCATTCCACATAAGATGAATAAATTGTTGTTTCAGTGATTGATGAAGAATTAGCAGTAGTCACCAAAAATAATCCAAAAATAAATTCTTTTACTTACAAATAGTGATAATAATAATAATAATGCGCATTATCTTTAGACGGACGGAAGAAAAATTCTCAAAAGTAATTATTTTCTTGATGCAGTAAACGCAGTTGATCATTGATTTGTGTATGCAGTGTCTTTGCAAGTAGAATAGCTATAAGCTAAGAAAGAAACAGAAAAATTTAAGGAAGTGAAATAGAAAACGTATACAACTGTTAATAATTATATATATATATATATATATATATATATATATATATATATATATAGTGTACTAACCTGAAACACAGCTACGCTAACAAACCCATAAGCGAAATAGACTATGTTGTTTTCTATTGCACTGATAAGAGCATCAACACATCCAGTTGTCCATACCATACGATTGGCTTCAGCAGTTGTTAATTTTTGTACACCAAATCCACACGATGTATTAATAATATTAACCTATGGTTGAGTGTAAGCATATCATTACAATTATTTCATAAATAGTTGATTTTAAGGCTGATATTTTATCATTATTTTTTCGATACTTAAATCTAGTAATAATTAATTCATTAACTTGAGTCTAGAATTTATCATGGACTGGTAAGAGCTGAATGATCAGTAGTACAGTAAGCGAACTCTGACACAGGGGCATTTCTCTCGTGCTAGTTAGGGATCACTAATATTCAGTGATGCATAGCCACGACCACTCGTCAGAGAAATCAAACAAATGTTATGATGATAAGTTGTAGAGATTAATCCCTCTATATTTGACTTCAATAAATAATATCCTGTCAATTGAGTATTTACTCAGGCCAAATCTCCTAGTAGTATTATAAATTTACTCGAGATTATTCAGAAAATCAGTTGTAGAGATGGTGTATTTGAATGAAAATAAAGAGAATTTAGCGAAGAAAATTTTCATTTTGACAAAATCATTTACTTAAGCTATAAATACGAATATACAGATTAAGTAAATGATTTTGTCAAAATGAAAATTTTCTTCGCTAAATTCTCTTTATTTTCATTCAAATACACCATCTCTACAACTGATTTTCTGAATAATCTCGAGTAAATTTATAATACTACTAGGAGATTTGGCCTGAGTAAATACTCAATTGACAGGATATTATTTATTGAAGTCAAATATAGAGGGATTAATCTCTACAACTTATCATCATAACATTTGTTTGATTTCTTATTCAATGACACAATGGACAGTGTATTGTCAATAATTGATAGAATCCGTAAGCATACAGGGAAGCAAGTGTGAATATCAAAAGAATACATAAATACTTAAGAGTGTTAATCGATTGTTGATAAATTATTATTGATTGTTTGTGTGTACAGCTAATGAGAGGATAGATAAAGATTGATGTACAGACATTCATCTAATCAAACTCACACAATTTTATATAGTAGGTCAAATGTCTAAATTACAGAAATTAGACAAATAATAAAAAAAATACTCTATGGCCTTAATATACTATACTTATTGTCAATATCATTTTATATTGATATAAGCACGTATAATAAACTGATAGTATCTCACTGATTGTAAGAACCGAATCAAGATAATAAATACAAGGACATAAAATTGGGGGGAGGGGAATAATAGTTTAAGGAGAATCCTGAAGTATGTGATGTATAAAGATCTACTTATGTGTAACAAGTTAGCACATTGTATTCTATAAAGAATTGTAGGTATTGTGGTTACTAGTGTACAGTGTATTTGTTTATCAGAAGACTCAAGTTCTATTCAATCTGATGTTGTGATACTTGTGTTTACATACTTTTTGAATAATACATTGAATTTACTAAGTAATGTGGATCTTATTAATACACACACGAATGGTATTTTATTTACTGAAGTGTATGTATGAAATGAAAGGTTTGATACTTCATTTTAAACATATTTTCAAAATGAAAATCATGATGGAGGTTAGCTATACGAACGATATCTTAAAAATAATGAAAAGTATGCTTTTGATTTACGATCTTTATCATCATAATGATGTACTGCAAGTGAGTTGTTTTGTTGTTTGTTTCGATGTGAATAGATTAAACCAATAGGAAAGATTAAAATGAATTTTTGACGATTTTCACTGCTACTATTGTATACACTTAAATAACGAGATTTGGATCTTGTTTGTAATGTGTATACTAACACATCTCATTTAAAATGGTGGATGCAATTTGTAGCTTAGATGGATGATTTTGATAGAAATTCGTTTTTTTGTTGAAACAACATATTAACAAAGAGATTTGTGGAAAAAGTAAAGTTGTTTTCTAGTGGAAGCCTGCACGCTGAACACTACTGAACTTTTCATTCCGCTGATAACCAAAGCAAAACTTAGAAAACGCACTTCATTCTTAAAGTTGATGAAGTGAAACACGACACATTCAAGTATTACATTTACATACTACCTTCTAATGATAATAACTAATAACAACAATATTAGTATGACTATGGGATGTTAAAATTGAAAACTGATAAGTAATCTATTTGAAGTACAAATAATATAATTTTGTCCAGTTATAGAAAGCCAAAAAAATGCTTACACTGATATCATTCATTTGACGGCAACAAGAATATGGAACTCCACAAGCTTCAGGGCTTATATTAGACTTATCACATGAAAAGTATCGATTAGCTGTCCAATCAAGATATGACTTAGGTCCGCAACAATTAAGCTGTATGTAAATACACACATATATATATTGAAATATAATATTAAAAAACCGTTGACTAGACGATTACGTTTTCAAAAAATATTTAAAAAATAGAAAGAATGAATTACTAAAAACAAACGTGTGATATTGCTGCCATGAAGATGGAAATCTGAATCGTGAAGTATAAACATCCGATTAAGATTCCAATTTTATGAATTTCCGGGCTCATAATGTCACTGGAATATATTACAATATAAACCTGTATCAACTGTGCTCGTTCATATTGCTTCACCCTCATTCTCTTCAATTCAACAACTTCAAAAATATGGGTGATATGAGATGACAAAAGAGACCTTTGTGTTTTTTTATTAGTCATTCTATGGGCCTATTATCCTTCATGATGTGATGTTTTTTATTGGATGATGAATGTGTTTTTTATAAATTTTACTAACCTTTATTACAATTGGTTTGAAATCCTACATAATTTAACGATACACCTTTTATCAATAAGTCTCATTTGCCGGATTTGCAATATTTCGGAGCGAGAAAATACTTAGAAACCGGAAAAT